AAGTTGCTTATTTTCTTCATATGTGTATTTGAGACTAATGATGTTTTGCTACATTATTGTCCTGATGCTATGGTATTTTTCCCTAAGTTCATATTGCTAATATCTTGCAGGAAAAAAAAAGGCATTTTGGATTGAATGACATATCGTTGTTGTGTCCTCTTGATGTTTAGAAGCTGTAAAGCTTTTGTTTACATATTAGTGATTTAAACAAAAGTAGAGGAATTAAGTTTGAAATAAATATTTTTTCATGCAACGTTAAACTAGTAAAGTAACAAGATTTTGCATTGATTACTTTGTATAAACTGCTTAAATAACCACACAGTGGTAAATAACCACATAGTAGTTTTTCTCTGCAAACACCTGAAAATCATTTATAGGGAGATATGCAATTAAAAACATTTAATTTATCCAACTTCACTACAAATATATAGTGAAATAAGTTTAGACATAGGTTTTTCATGGTAGAGGCTTTCTGAGAAGGAGTGTTGAAAGATGTGAGTCAAAGTTGAAAACCTGGGTGTTGAATAGCAATTCTTGGGGTGAAATCCCAATGGCGTTTTTTTCACAAATTTTTAGTGGTTATTGTCACTACTCACTCTCAGGATCTGAAAACCATCTGCAACTGCTACTAGAACACTACCAATCTGACATTTTTAAAAATTCTTGTCTGAGATCTTCCATTGCAGATATTAACTGAAAGTTCATTTCTGTCTGAGAAATGAAGGTACATCAGCTGTTGAACTAATCCAAGAAAAAACAACAGGTGCCTCTTGCACATTTTGCCTATCATTCTGACCTCACCCAGTTAGCAACAGAACTTTGTGTCACAGATCTGACCAGTCTCTTTTCCCTATTCTGTGAACAGTCTTGTTTTTTTGCTTAGGCATGCATCAAAAGCAAAAATACCAAAAATGATCAATTTTCGTATTCCACACATAGGAGTTAGATTCTGTGTTTGCTTAATATGCTTAATCTCTCAACGATGTAGAGAGAAGGAAATACGAACTCTGGCAGGACAATACAGATGTTGCGATTAACAGCAATCCTTTCCTTAGCATAAAATAGAAGTAGCTTTTGAGAGTGGGGAATAGTGCAATTAGTAATGATTTTTTTTGTAAAAAGCTCTGAGCTATTATTAAACTCAAGAAAAATCTAAGCCTCCAAAAGATCTGTGGAACAGTCATTTATACCTTTTAATGTCTTTACAAATGGTACTTTTTACATCAGTTACCAACACACATTTTTGCCTAACAGGAGATATTAAAGATGCTGTCTGGAATTTTTGAAAACTGATAAAAACAGTTCTGAAAAAGAGATGTGACCTGCATCCCTCAAAGCAGTGTTTAACTGCCTACATTACTTGACATCTAAAGAACAAAGGTTTGCAAAAGAGAGACTGATATGGTACTAATACCTGCATGTAAGCTACATCTTCTGAAAGTGTGCCAGAATTTGTCTGGGAGAAGGCAGAAGACAGACAATATAGATTGCTGTATTTTTCATCAAGTGGTTTGTACCATCTGTATATATTTTACGTGTGCCTCTTGAGAGGCAAGGGGTGTAACTTAGATCCCCCTAGGCTTTGTTCTCTGCCTCTGCACCTACCATTTGGCATAAGATGTAGCCAGTAGAAGAAAACTGAGGTTGTTGGGACTTTTTTCTTGTCTTAGTTGCAACAGCTGCAAAACAGATGTAGGCCGACATGAGTTCTGCCAAAAATTTCTTCCAAGTCTCCCACCCATTTTCCACCAAAGAGAAGCTAGTCAGGTGATATGAACAGAGACCTGAAGCTCAGAAAGAGATGGGAGCTCCCAATCCTAGCTCTATAGAGACTGTTGAAAAGAAACAACCAGAAAACCTAGATTTACCACTTTTGAAATTGAAACAACCAAAATTTCTACAATTATTATTCCACTTAGCATGATGTCCATAGGAAATAGAAGGCAATCTGCACATGAGCCTCAGCAACACTGCAGCAGAGAAAGTCAGATGACAGCAAGAATTCATAACTGGTGTTCACCTGCCTGCCATCCATCTAAGTCAGTCCCTTTTTATAAGTATTTTCAATATCTCAGATGTATTAAGCTAAATACTGTTGTCCTGCTGGTCAGATCTTTGCTGAAATAAATTTCCTAGGATTCCAGTTCTGTTTCATGAACCTCAGTATTGAGTGGGAGTCAGTTTGCCTGTCTCAGGCTTCTGCATACCTCTCCAACTTGCTTTCAGCAATATTTGAATATATCGTGTGGGTTTTTTCAGAGTGTCTTGACTACTACAAATGCATTCAATGACATTCACAACACATAAATAAAAACCTTAAATTTTTCCACTGTGTCAGTTTGCTGATGAACTCACACTGCTGACAAAATTGTGGCTGCCAGGGACTTGCCATCCAGCATTGACTTAAAGATAGCACCCAGCAATGGCAGAAATGTCTAAATAACCAATTGTCCAAGCATGCTTATATTTGCAAAGGATCTGTGTGGGCTAACATTGCTAGCAGTGCTGAATCCTTTTTTTGCTGGCAAAGAGGAAGGACAAATGCTACTCATGCAATTACATTTCCCTTTCCTTACATCAGTATCCCAGGAACCTGGATTTTAGATGCTAACCACATTTGTACATTGGGAAATCAGAACCATGAGTATTAACCTGAATGATGACTCGGCTCATTGTGTTTTTACTGGCTGTACAGTAATTCTGTTTTCCTCATGGAACTACATGCTTGCAGAAAAATTGCTTGTCTTGTAAGTCTCAGACACTTATAGAGATCAGTATCCTCTTGAGAGATGTTTGGATGCGTACTCCTGAAGTTTTTCCCTTTGATCATTCGTGATAACCGCAGCTACCAAGGTTTTACACCTGTGACTCCACTTCCTGCTGCATTTCCAGGCTTATGTCTTCATTTCTAGTATTTAATTTTCAGTATGGTGTCAAAGTCATCTGTAGGTGGATTACTTTTACTGGAGTTTGTCTTTAGTTTGGATACCAGTGAACCATGTATCTTTCTTACAGCAAGTACTGACATGGGAAGACTTATTGGCTCACAGCCTCACACAGGCACAGGTTTACCAAGGGAGCTAGTTAAGAGGACTTTAGCGGTGACTTGTATGAAATACATTTCTCTGTTGTACTGAAGATAAGCAGTATGCACACCCACCGGCTTTCAAATATGTATGAAACACGTCTCTGGTGGTATAAGAATGGTAAGTCCGAATGCTAGGAAAAATGTGTCAGGTATCTCTCTTCAGTGATTCATTGGAGTGGTGATGTAGGGATTTAAGTATTTAAGTTCAGGTCATCTGCATAGTAGTTGGACCTTATGATGAAGTGGCAGATGAGGAAATTTCAAGGAAGAAAAGCAACAGAAAAATGCAGAGAGAAGGTATAGTGACTCTAGTTTGCCACCTAGTATGAAGGAAGAAATGTGAACTTCTAGGTTTAAGGTGGTTTTGATCTGTCAAGTTTTCTGTGTTGAGATTGGATAGTGGACCTTGTTTCCACACTGTAGTCAATGGGCACCCCATCTAATGGGGTCCTATACTAGAAAATCCCTACTCCAGCTGTGGCTGAACAGCTCTCAAAGCCACTCAACAATGTTGGTGGATACCCTCGGTCATGCACAGCAGTAGTACAACCATGTTTGAAACAAAGTTCTGTGTGTCATGTCAGCAAAAGTTAAGAGGTTTGGTGATTTGAATCCATTAGATTTAAAACATTTTAAATTAATGACTATAGGACTGAGTCAAACATCAACAGTGCTCATTTAAAAAAAAAAAAAAAAAGTTCCCTTCCAAGCAACAGAGTAACTGAAAAAAAGTGAAAATATAGATAGTAGACTGTAGGTTTGAAACCAGACTCACTAGCCAGTTGGACAGTCTCAGGCATGTCGATGATTCATCTGACACAGAGTTCCCGGGAGTGATTTCTTGCAGGCCTGTTCATTTGGATGTTGATGCAGGTTTCTATTTAAATGAGCAGCTGAAGTGTGAATTTATCTGTGACATTTTTAAGATGGTTCATGAGGCCAGAATTTGACTAATGATACTCCTACTGATCTCCTGCTAATTTTGGATTTATAGGTGTTGTGTCATACCCAAACTTATAAATGTCTGGTCCTTTTTTTTTTTCTTTTTTTTTTTCCTTCCCCCCCCCCCCCCTTTTTTCTTTTTTTTTTTTTTTTTTTTTTTTGCAGTTTGATCTCTTTTCATTTATTTAAACAGTCTTCACTGACAGCAACAGAATGGCTGTCACCAAGTTCAGTAATTTGGCTCAGGACCAAATGTACCTGTTTCTGAGAGTAAAAGAAATCAGGAGGGTGGCAATGAAACCTTCAGCAAAGCTCCTCTAATTGTGGCCAAAGTATTCCTTAGGTAATGAGCTGTGGTGGTAGCAAATTTCCTATATTGATACCAGCTATGGCATAACCGCCTACCAGCACCAGGGCATGTGTAGGAGGAGATCCCATTATCACATGGGACGTGCTCACCAATTTATTTTTGATGTGCGTTGAATTTCCTGTGCTTTGTTAGTTACCTTTCCCTGAAAGTGTAACTGGACTAAACCTTAACGTGTGTTCTTTAAAATAGAGCTTTGGCTTAAGTATTTTAGTGAAATGATAGGAGAAAGAGATTCTTGAAGTATTACTCATTAAGACACTAATCAAATGATACACATCCTGTACTGGCTGGATGGACTGAGAGTTGCCAGAAGTGGGAAGGAGTTGAAGCTTTGCAGAAATCCTACAGAGAACTACTAGGAAATGAAACACCGCAAGTTTTTAAGCTAAAGTTTGATGTGCGTGAATGGAAGCAGCAACTCATGTCTGTCAGAATTACTGCTACTTTCCTGATTTACAGTGAAGAATCCATAGGTATGAAAGATGCTTCTGAGAGAAGAAAGTTTCAAGAATGTAACTTAAGCACGTTGTTATCTTTGGGCTTGTTTCCTGTTTAGCTGAACACTTGTCTTTACCTCCATTTTTTCATCTTTTTTTTCAGATTCCCAAGAAGGAAACTACAAGTCAGAGGTCAACAGTAAACCCAGGAAGGAAAGGACAGCTTTCACCAAGGAGCAAATCAGAGAGCTAGAAGCAGAATTTGCTCATCATAACTATTTGACCAGGCTGAGGCGATATGAGATAGCAGTAAACCTTGACCTCACTGAAAGACAGGTACTGATGCAAAATAATGGACTTTAAATGCTTGCCTGATCTTTACCAGTGGTTAGTAGCTTCTTCCAGTAGAGCTCTTGTTTATGTTACTAATATATATATATCAATATATCAGACTGAATGTTGATAGCAAAATTATACATGTTTATTATCTCTCTGCTACACAAGTAATTCATATTTTCATATGTACCAGTTACAGACCAGTTTCATTTAGTGGGAAGAGATGGAAGATAAAGCATGAGTAATGTATCTATTAAACTGGTGCACATCTTTTCTAATCTGTCCATACTGATGAGGCTGAAGAAGTGGTAGGTCCCAAATACTGCATGCACAAGCAGTTGATTTGCCTGTGTGCAACAAATATGAGCATCTTGTTTTAGTCTATTAAATATATGCAGTTGCCATTTGTCCAGAGTTTCTGAACATCCTGTTTCCAGATGGCAGCAAGAATGGGAACACCAGCAAAACTGGAATACAGGCATTTTTAACTACTTTATCTTACCCTGCACTGTGAAAGCAGAGGAGATGATGGAATTTCTTATCACTGTTATTGGTTTCCTGCTCACCAAGCCCTGGTCCGGGAAACACTTCTGCACGTGCTCAAGTTTCATCATGCATGTTGTCACATTGATTTCTAATGAAAATATTCATGTTAAGCATGTACTGAAGTGTTTCAGGATGTCATCCCAACACATTAAATAGGTAGTAAAGTCACACTTAAAATAATAATTACATCAACATACACATTTAAAAATGTGTTTTAGTAAAGACATTTAGAATACTGGACTCAAGTACACCAAATCTGATTAAATATTACCAATAGTTTTATTATTAAAATTGAAAGTTTGGAATCAGTATTAGATTGAAAGATTGCTTTAGATACAATCAGTAGGATGATGATATATCCAAGGGAAGGTATCAAAATAGCACCATGATTTGTGAATTCTCAATATGAGAAGTTTTGAAATTTTCCTACATTTCATTAACACCTGCCATAAGTAGACATCTCAATGAAAATCCTGCCTTTTCTATACATATGAACATACATATACTCACACAAGGAAATGAAACAGTTTTTTTTTCTTTGAAGGCTTCTAGAGAATGGCTGCCCTTTCCAGTTTATCAAGAAGGCGGCAGTAATTTCTTGTTTGACTTGAATATGTTGCCAGGTTCCACTGGGGTCATTTTCAGTTACTTATATATGTTATATTTGTAAAGCCCACCATTTTGTATCAAACATTTGATAGAACTTTGCCTTTTTCATTTCCACTGACTAAGGTAAGCTGAGACAATTAGATTAACTTCTCCTCCTGATTTTGACAGCTAAGGGGAGGAGGAATGAATTCTTGTCTTGGTGACAAAGGTAGAGTCAGTGTGGAACTGAGCAATAATAAATAAATCTTAAGAAATATCTGCTGGTCTGTTTAATGGGAATCAGTCAGTTGAATTCAGAAAAAATATCTCCATATTTAATAATGGTGAATTTGGCCTGTAATTTAACTATTCTCCTTGATAAATTCTTTATTCTTTTCTTCAAAGAGCAGGTTGAGTAGTACAACTAAATGAAGAAATTGTTCACTATCCTAAAGGAAATAGTTAAACTATAAGAATTTAACATACCGAAAAGGAACAGACAAATACTGAATATTGTCTCTGGAGAAGAAAAGGCAGGCTGTGCTACACAAGTGCAGAGAATTCATTTAAGTCATGGGACAGCTTGCCATTTTCTAGCTGTCACATAATGCTAGCTCTAAGCATTCTGCTGATAATAGTGATAATTTCTATTGAATTATAATTAGTCTATCTAATTATGTAATCTAATTCTTCTCTGCTTCCCCAGATTATCACAGAGTGACAACTGAGCTGCTAGAGATAACTCCCTTCCTTCCTTCCTTCCTGCTTTCCTGCCTTCCTTCCTGCCTTCCTGTTTAAAGCCACCCTTGCTTAGAAAAGGAAAGCATTAAGATTTTTAGCTTAATAGAGTCCAGTTCTCTATCTTGCCACAATAAAATGATCTGAAAGAAAAACAAATGATAGCATAAAAACTGTATTCTTAATTGAAAACAAAAAGAAAATTGAGAGGAAATTCTGGACATATTTTTCAGTTTCTGAATCATACTAAGCCACGTAATGATGTCACTTCCAATGCTGTCAATTAGAAATGTCTCTTTTTAAATTAAATATATTGCTTTGATGGAAAACTGGTGTAAATAGGCATGGAACTGGTTGTGGGTTTCCATGGTATATGGCAGTCTTCAGAAGCTGAATGTAGTAAATAAAAAGGCTTGACTTTTCTTGCATACTTGTTTTACATCAGTATTCCTTCAATGACTTAAAAGAAAATAGTCCAGGGTCAGCCTGATGTGACACTAATATTTCTTTTCTTTCTAGTTAAGAGACTGAACTCATATTCAGGACCTATCTTTCCATCATTAGCAGAATAAGTGATTATTCTTGAGTGGGCTAACAGCATTTATTTGTCTACTTACTACTGTTATTACTTTACTAGCTGTCCCAACAGAGGAGGTCATATTTGATACCTATGTATTCAACAAAACCAGTCCTTTTTCTAAAACTATTCTGACTGAATTAAAATATATTGATGGAATTCCAAAAAAGCCACTCCCCAATGAGGACGCATTTGTAGAAAATTGCTATTTCTGGAACAGTTTTCCTTTACTATTTTTCCCCCAAAGGTTGCATTGCAGAGAATGGTACCTGATAGGCAGTAGTTCCTTTGTTTGAAATAAGTGAACACACAAGTGATAAACTCGATTTCATCACAGGCTGTAGTCCTATTTGTGTTGGAAGCTCTCTTGACTTCTCATGAGACATTGAATTCGCACACAGAGAATTGAAACTTACTTCAGATAACAGAATGATAAAAACCAACAGTGGATATCATGTGAACTAATGTATCTGCTCAGAAAATAGGTTTGAGAGCAGACCTAACTCCTGATGGAATGAATTGTTTGGCATAATAGTTTTTACTAGGTTTTTAAAAAAATGACCAGCATCATATTACTCAAAGGGCAGAAGAGCAAAAAATAATCTGGGGAAAGTATTGTTGGGTCATCCTGAAGTTACAACTTTCAGTTATTTCCCAAGATGTGAGATAAATCACAGAGCCTATTATCTTAAGAAAGCTCTATCTTCCTCTTGACTATAGTGATAATTTCAACCATACGCCACAGCTTAAAAGAGGCACTGACCAACTAACACTTCATAATTACCTTTCTGGCATTTAAACAAGCTGTAGGAAAAAACATATGTCTGACCAGATTTAAAAAGCTATATAAGGGTATTAAAGTTTTCTACAGTCATCAAAGTAAGGCTCCATTTGACTTTTGAAACAACTTACAAGATCAGTTCAAACATAAATGACTTGTGGAAGGCCATTTCACAAAAATAATAATGAAAAAAACCCCTCACAATATATGGATCAGGAGAAGGAAGTAATCCTATCACTCCCTAAAAAGGAAACCTGAGTTACAAGACAGGAGGATGAAATGAAATAAGTGCCTCAATTGCCTAGATATTAAGAGTGCACTTTGAGAGCATTATAAGCACATCTGGTGGTAGGATGGCTCTATTATGGTATTGTAAGAATTTCAGCAGTATAGGTACATATAATTCCTGTTCCATCTCCTATAGAGTGCACTCACAATCCCTGCTCAGCCAGCAGTTAATAATTTTCATCTGGCAGGCCTCTATTATATTTTGAAGAGAGAGTTAGACTAAAAACTATCTTAGCTCCCTAGATATTTGTAACCTTGACAAGCGCATTCTTGGCTTTCTTGTACATCCAGATAAACTTGGAGAAGGTTCCATGCAAACTTTTTAATATCTCTCTGTGGGATGAGGAGAGGAAGCAGCTGCAGTGGGGTATCGGAGGCGTGGCAAAATGGACATTTTTATGGAGTTGGTCCTGCCAAATATAGAAAGAGTAGGAGATCTTTCCACCTCACAAGATCTTTTTGCATGGAGCTAATCAAAAGAGTAATGTTGTGGTTCTGCAGGCTAGCTAAGGTTACCGGAATAAACAGTCCAAATACGTAATGCTTCTGTTTGCCAACATAAACATAAAATCCTACCTCGTCAGATTAAATTCTGCTGATGGCAATGAGAAGGTTTATTTCTTCTTAACTTTAATTTCCACTACCCACCCAGAAGCCACCAATAAAAAGTCCAAAGCCATTGATTTTGCATAGACAAAGGACATAATTTTGTCAAAATGAAGAGTGTTTTGCATCTGTGTTTGGCTTCCATGTACGTGGTACCAACACGGGATGAGTGACAAATGAAGAAGCTCTGTAATGCCTTTTTCTACCAGAAAGAGAAGCAAGCAGCATTATTATTTAAATGCATTAGGGCAATGTTGGTATAGTACCATTACCCACATGGCAGCACTGCATTGTTATGACTACACAAATAATACGTTAAATTTTCCATTACAAAAATTTCCTCCAGACCTGGTTACCTCAATCCTTCATCACAAGTGACTTCACTAAAATTCTCTGCAGCATTGCAGAGCTCAGGGGAGGCTAATCTCTGCATTTTTCAGACTTGGCAGGTAAGGTAAGAGTAGCTCCCTTTAGTCACATGGGTGAGAAACCAGGGAGTTCAACGTTCCTCAATTGGGTGTTTGTTCTGAACCACCTCTGAAAGAGTAAATGTCTCTCCATACATCACAAGGCATGACTAGTTTCCTACTTTAGGAAGTTAGATTTCTAAGGTTCAGTGGTGAAATTATTCCCCTGTATACTTTCAAACAAAATCAAACAATGGATTGATAGGACAAGCTTGACTATATCTGTCTGATTTATTGTGGAGTCATGTCTTTTCTGAAAGGCAGCTGCTCATTCCAAGCTTCCATGTGTTAAGCACTCTTTATACACACTATAATAATGAGCCTGTGTGGCTTGAAATCCTTTGGATTTTTTGTTTTATTTAAAGTAACACTCTTAATAAAATAAAACTCACTAATACTTTTATATTGC